GCCACGGCACTCTAGCCAGGGCAACACAGTGAGACTCTGTCTCAAAAAAATAAATAAATAAATAAATAAAGCAGAGGACAGTATCACAGAAACAGAAGTATATACATCAAACAGAACAACCCTGTATCCAACTTCTCTTCAACCCCAGATCTAATCTATCAGCAATTTTTGTTGGTTTCACCATCACTGTGTATCCAGAATCCCATCACTTCTTACTACCTCTATCAACACCAATCTAATCCAAGCTATTGTCACCTCTTGCTTGGCTATTTATTGCAATAGCCTTCTAACTAGTTCTCTGTTCTTATTTTGTCATGCAGAAACATTCTCAATATAGAAGTCAGAGTGATCCTTTAAAATATACATCAGATCATGTCATTCCTTTGTTTAAAATCCCCAAATAGCTTGCACAGCACTGAAAGTACAACACCAAGGTCCTCCAAAAAGCCTGTAAGGCCTCATGGAATCAGCCCCCTCCTTGCCACCATCACCCCTGTGACCTCATTTCGTCACTCTCCCCTTGCTGGCTGTGTTCTAGCTATCCCTCTACATGGAATGCTCTTCCCTTGTATATCCACGTGGTTTGCTTACTTCACTCCCTCCCTTCTTTCAGAGAGGCCTTCCCTGACCACCCCATGTAAAACAATCTCACCTTTCACTACTTCCTGATTTGTTTTTTTCAGTAACACTTATCACCACTTAACAGACTATATCTACTTTTTTGTTTTATGCCTCTTGTCCACCTCCATCTTAAGAATGTGAGTTCCATGAAGTCAAGGAATTTGTCTTATTCACTATTATATTGTTATTGCCTGTATTGACAGTGCCTGACACATAGAAAGCACATAATAAATATCTCCTAAATGAATTAATTGAATAAGTGAATAAAATATGGTAAAGAAAGATTAACATTTTCTTTATTCACATTTTTTATTTGATCTTATTACAATAATCCTGTATTACTTTGACAATTAAAATCCAACAAAGAAAAGAATTTTTGAAAAATATACAATATGAGGCAATTTATTTTTAAAATATCTTATAAATGGAAAGATATCCCTTGTTCATGGATTAGAAGACTTAATATTGTTCAGATGACAATACTTCCCAAACTGATCTAAAAATTCATGTAATACCCATCATAATTCCATCTGGCTTCTTTGCAGAAATTGACAAGATGATTGAAAGTTCATATGGAAATTTGAGAGAACCAGAGTAGCTAAAACAATTGTGAAAAAGAAGAGGAGCAAAGTTGGAGGACTCACATTTCTCAATTTCAAAACTTATTACAAAACTATAAAAATCAAGACAGTGTGGTACTGGCACAAGGACAGATGTGGATCAATGCAATAAAACTGAAAGTCCAGAAATAAACTCACATATTTATGGTCAACTGATTTTTTACAAGGGTGCCAAAATCATTCAATGAGGGAAAGAATAGCCTCTTCAACAAGTGGTACTGGGACAACTGGATATCCACATGTGAAAGAATGAAGTTGAACTCCCACCTCACCCCATATACAAAAATTAACTCAAAGTGGATCAGGGATCTACATGTAAGAAAAAAACTATTGAATCATATATTTTCTACAAATGAATTGTATGGTATGTGAATTATATCTCAATAACTGGTATTAACAACATATAATAGCTACACACATATAATACACACACACACACACACACACACAGAGTTACTTTTGGGTGATAAAATTACAGTGAATTTCATTTTTGCTTTTTGCTTATGCCTTTTCTCTCCAGAGGTTGAGCAAACACTGGCAGAGGATGTTGATAGAAGATATTCCTACAACTGGTGGAGTTGTACTGATACCCAACATCCTTCCCAAGTCTAAGATCTTGAAATTTACCTTGGAAAATACCGAGAGGTAGATTAGTACCTAATCAACTTGTAGAATCATGGTTCTCCTCTGGGACAAATGGGAGCATCACTCTGCGATCAAACATGTCACTTACATTCCTCTAAAAACTTACCATGCTGTAGTTCTTCAGGGCCAGGTGAGCTTTTCCCATGTGGAAATATGCTTTTGTGCATTTCTCATCACACTGCATAAAAGAGAATGATTGATCACATATTTCGAAGATTGGAAGTCATTAGCCACTTCCCTAACTAACCTAGGTAATAGAGTTAAGGCAAAGCCTTGGTTCTCAGGAAAGCTACCAGAGTTGACAATTAAAACTTTTCTGTGCATCTGTGACTAAACTAATTGATACCTTCAGGAGGCTGGATGTACCAGTAAGCTCTCTATCAAATTAATGATACCTGCCAGTTTTCATTTCCATTTAATGAGACTCAATCAGGAAGAAAACCAGAAACCCTCAGGTTAGAAGAGCTCTTAACACTGGCTGGATGTCAGAATCACCTAGGATGCTTTTAAAAATCCTGCCAGCCACGAAGTACCCCACACCAATTAAATTATACTCTGGGGTAGAGCCCAGGCATCAATAATTTTTTAAGTTCTCCAGGTGACAAAAATGTGCAGCCAAGTTGAAGAATCACTGGTTTATTAGAAGGGAGGAGAATTTACTCTGGGAAAACAGCTGAGGTTACCATTACATCTTAGTGGGCCTGGGAAGTTCCTCCCCTCAAATAAACCACACGTGTATACTGGGAACTTACATTCATATCACTTAAGATCAAGAGAAATGTCCGCTTCAAAAGGATGGAAACTATGGCTGAGACTAGATCATGTACACAGGAGGCCCTGCCTCTAATTATTATAACTTCACAGGGAATGATTTGGCACAGAGACATAAACTTAAATTGGAAACATCTAAAATGGACATTTATTGAACCCCTTTTATATTCAAAGCATTTTGGTGAGTAAGATGCCCTTCAAGAGTTTAGATTTGAAGAGGTAAAGAGTTCAACTCAGGAGTCTAAAATGACTTGGGCAGATTCTTGTTCTGCCACTCAGAAGAAGTGGGACATTGGCCAGGCCATCTAACTTTTCTGACACTCATTTTCCTCATCTGGAAAGTAAAGACAGTAATAGTCTCTCTCTCTCTCAGGTTGTTGTGAGGAAGAAATCATGTACAACACTTAGCGCAGTGCTGGGCAATACGTTATTAGCTGTTGTTGCTGCAGTTACAACACCAGCAATCCATTTCAGAGCAAAAGAGAAAATTTAAAGAAAAACTGAAAAATAATAAAAGAGAGAACAATAATTGTTGGAGAATGCTCTATAGATGGATTTTCGTGTATATCATTTCCTGACTCACTACTAAGGGAATGGCAGTGCTAAGAAGAGGGCATGACTCTTCAGCCAGTACTATGCACTAGGCACTGAGCTCGATGGTTCATATGAATGATCTCAAGAAGTCTTACAACAGCTCTGTGAAGTAGATACAATTATTGTCCCCATTTTACACATCAGGAAACTAGGCGTTGGAGAGGTTCAAGGTCACACAGATAGTAAGTAGAAGAACTGGAATTTGAAATCTGGCCATTTAACTCCAGGGCCCAAGGGTTTAAAAATTATACCAAATCTCCTTTAGAAAGGTGCTATAGAAAAAAAGTATGCAGATGCTACAGAAAATGCTATTGAAAAGGTTCAGTGGAAGGAAATCTACGCTAACGAGATGCAGTCTTAAAGAGATGCAAAGGAGGAGGGATGTGAGTGGGACGTTGAATGACATGGAGAGGTAAAGAAAGGAGGATGGAGGAATGGGCTGGCCAAGGCAGGCGAGGATGGGGCTCCTGTGGACAGTCCAGCTGGGATGCAGAGGCAGGTGCTGGGTGGAGGGAAGACCGGGCTGGAAGTGGTGAGCTAGACAGTGACTCCACGTGGAGGCCTTGAATGCCACGCCCAGAGGGTGAGTCATTAATGGCAGTGTGGAGGTGAGCTGCTCTGGAGGCAGCATGCAGATGTGCCAGGGGAAGGAAGGGCTGGGAAAGGAGCGAGGAGACTACTTAGAATAAAGGCAGACGTCTGAAGTCCTGGTGACAGTGAGAGTGAAAGGAAGTGCAGACACCAGAGCTATGTCAAAGAAAAAATTGACCAGCATCAACTAGCTACAAATGATAGCAGGGAAGGAGGGTATGAGTCAAAACTGGAGATCTACACGCCTGGAAGGCTGGTGTGTCATTAACGGAAAGAGGTCAGTCAGGGCAAGGAGCAAGGAGGGCTGAGTGGGAAGACGAACAGTTGGCTTCTAGACAACAAGTTTCAGATGATGCCAAGACAGTGGAAAGGAACCTGCAGGAGGCAGCTGGAATGCAGCCGTGGAGCCGGCAGGGGAGACTGGGGCAGCAGCCTGAGAGCCACGTGCAGAGATGAGCAGTGAACCTACGAGGAGACGCCAGCTCTGAGAGAGCAACTGTGTGTGGAGAGGAGAGAGGCGGGGAGCAGAGGAGAGAAGCCTGGTGAATTCACAAAGGATGGAATTAAGGAAGCAGGAAAGGAACGGTCAAAGTGAAAAGAGGAAACGCTAGCGCTACAGCGCGTGAAAGCCAAATATTCACAACATATTCACTGGCAGAGCACCGGTGTTATAACAGGGGAGGAACTGAGCCCCGAGCGTTAGAGCCTTGTCCATGGCCAACTGTGTGTCACTGCGAAGTGGGTTTGGTTGTGACTTCGCCTTCCTCAGAATGACGCAAAAGGCCACGAAGGAATTTCTCACGAATGGGCCCGTGCTCCTTTGATCATGTGTCAACCCTCACCAGGACTTTCTCAGGTGAAGCCCAGGTTCCCTCTAAAGGAACCCTGACTTCAGAGGAAGACGTATCTCACCGTGCAGGAAGTGTTCTGCCAAGAGAGATACGATTCTAATCCTAATTGAATCCAGCTTGTCTGCCTTCTCTTCCTTGACAAGGAACATCAGTCTTGAAATATCACAGGAACTTGTCTCTACCAATTTAAAAGTGTCAAAAATATTAAATTGGCGTACAAGTACTCATACCATTAATAATGGAGTGCCAGTGACATTCGCTATTGATATGTTACTTTTAAAGAGAGTGAAACTTTTTCTTTTAATTCACGGCTGCAACATAGAACAAACCATTATTGGTTTTTAGAACTCTTTGTACATTTTTTTCCCATCCATCCAAGTGTTTACCCAAACCTCTTCAACTGGGAGCCTCGCTGGGCATTTAACAAGATTGGCTGCTGAGTGTCAGCGTTTTTTAATGTCAGCTCCTTTGGGCCTGCTTTGCCTCGGTTTCACCATTAATTACATTGTGCTTCAATTAACATTCGGGAACAGGCCAACGTGCTATCCTGAATCAGAATGATGGTGTGTCTACCTCTTTGGTCTTTTTCAGACATGAAAATTTATTCTTGGAGGCCTTGTGAGATCTTGTTTCTTCCACAGAAGGGAAAGAGACCCACGCCCAGGGACTATGGGGTTCGAGGTTTCAGTGGAGAGCCCTTGACAGTAGATGGTTAAGAGTATGGGCTTGCAGTTACACCGACACTAGCTTCACCATCCTGTGCAAGTTACTAAGGCTCAGTTTCCTTCTCAGAACAACCAAGAAAATAGTGCTATTAAACACTATTGGAATAGAATATTGTGAGCATGTAGCAAATGGTGGTTTTTGCTTTTATTATTGGAACAACCAAGAAAAACATCCTTGCCTCTTTCTGCTCTTGCAGAATCATGGTAGAAAAAGTAATCACGATCAAACAAGGTGACAAGGCAGGTTAGTGGATCTGTGCTAGGGCTGTAAGGAGCTTGATGTCATCAGCTTTGGGCAATTCTTGTAACTGAAAGACCATGCCAATGCAATGGGCAAAGGTATATCACACACTGTATCTTCCAAGAGATAAAGAAATCAGACACTCCAGATGTCAGCTTTGGAGGATCCCTGGTGTTTCAGGAACCATTATAAGCAAAGGTGACTTTCTAATTCATCTCTATTTCCCTTGCTTACCCTCTCAATAAAAAATACACAGGTAGATATGGCCAGCATGCTGCTATTAAAGTGTGCTCTTGTTTAGGGCCGTGCTCATTAGGCTAGGTGTGCATATAGGATAGGCGTGCATATAGGATAGGCATGCATATAGGATAGGCATGCATATAGGATAAGGCGTGCATATAGGATAAGCGTGCATATAGGATAGGCGTGCATATAGGATAGGCGTGCATATAGGATAGGCGTGCATATAGGATAGGCGTGCATATAGGATAAGCGTGCATATAGGATAGGCGTGCATATAGGATAGGCGTGCATATAGGATAGGTGTGCATATAGGATAGGTGTGCATATAGGATAGGCGTGCATATAGGATATAGGATAGGCGTGCATATAGGATAGGCGTGCATATAGGATAGGCGTGCATATAGGATAGGCGTGCATATAGGATAGGTGTGCATATAGGATAGGCGTGCGCGTGCATATAGGATAAGCGTGCATATAGGATAGGTGTGCATATAGGATAGGTGTGCATATAGGATAGGTGTGCATATCAAAGAATTGAAGCCACAGGCACATTCTCCTTGTACTTCAATTTTACTTGATTTGAAGTTTTAAAAAATAATATTGTTATATGAAAACAAACAAATCTTTTAAAGTGCCATGCAAAATTCACGAGGATTTTTAAGGTAAAATACATGTCTTAAAAGAAATTTCATGCATTCTGCCTCTAGACCCTGGAAAGGCTCATGTTCATTCTCCTCTGCTGTTAGTAGCACTTCAGCGCAGAAGTCTGAGAGGCACTAGTTTGGGTTATTTATAAGCCCCCTGTGGCAGAGAAATAACTCAGAGGAATGTAGATTAAGGGTTATTCAAATATCTAGTCATCTGAAATAAATAATGTTCCTAAGAAGTGATCATACCATTTCTCTTTTACTTCTATGCACCTTTGGTTACTATATTGGTAGATTTCAGAGGAAATACTATGTACAGTATTATGCTATCTGCCTGAGGCCTGACTGAAGTTGAAAAATAGGAATTCTTTCTTCTGATTATTCCTCTACAAACAGAGGATGTTATAATGTATTAGGGCTGGAGGAAAAAAAGCAGAAAAAATGATGAGGAAGAATGACAACATTTGCAGACACAAGCTCCCATGGCTGGCTCTAGAATAGAGGAGGCATTTCCACCATCACAGATAGCAAAGCATCTGATAATACAATAGTGAAGAATGTGCCGTTTCAACATAAGACCTTGAAAGACCAATAATAACAGCAGTTTCTTTGGGGTACTTACTCTGAGGTAGGCACTTTACGTGCATTATCACGACCCTCGCAACAATTGTATTCTACCCCATGTTATAGATGAGGAAACTGAGGCTCTGACTGCAGACCCTATACCCTTTTCTACCACGACACACTGGCAGCTGCCTTGTGTTTACTTCAGGACTAAGACATCCGACTCAAGCAAGCCCAACACCATTATGAGGGAACGGAAATATTCTCTTACCTTCAGAGCCCACTCGCAATCCACCAGTGCTTTCTCATAGTCCTCGAGTTTTATATAAGCCTGTAATGACACAAATAGCTGATATTGATATACAACTCTGTATCAGGCAGTCTTCAGTCCACACAGAAAGAGCAGTTGAACACCAGAAAGGTGATGATGAGTACCTGGTCCCTACCTAGACGGGTCATGATCCTGACAAGAAACAATGGCACACTCACACTGGGCAGCTGAGGAGGGTTTAGTACAGGAACTATTTGCAAGTTGAGGGCGGGGCTTAGGGAAATCCACAAGGGATGTTACAGAATCCCAGGGCTAGCAACAGTGGATGGCAATTACCATGACTACAACTTAAGGGGTGGAAGGAGGGAGCAATGAAGAAAATGGGAGAGATTAATATGTGAAAAGAACTGCCTGATGTGAGCTGAGACCTTCACTAGAGCCCAAAGCAGGGAGAATAAATACCCTAATCACACCTTACTCCTTCCTTCTGATTTCATGGGCTGAACACAAATGGAAGCCACATGGCTAGGAAGCCAAAGAGCCAGTCCACACAGACCAGCCCCCAGGACACAAAGCAGGGCAGACAGGGATCTGGAGAAAACACTCAGCACACGAACCATGTCTACAAAGGAAGAGCTCACTTCTGGAGTCTACCAATCATACCGGAAGGATACCAAATGATAAAGGGAATCAAATAGACAGATAATAAACAAGTGCTGGAAAAGATGCAGAAAAATTGGAACCCCTATACATTGCTTATAGGAATGTAAAATGGTACAGCCCCTTTAGAAGACAGTCCAGCAGTTCTTCAAAAGGTTAAATATAGAGTTACCTTATGACCCAGCAATTCTATTCCTAGATTTATGCCCTAGAAGACTGTTAAACTATGTCCATAAAAAAACTTTTACATGAATGTTCATAGTAGAATTATTCATAATATTAATAGTTAAGAAGCAGACACAATCCAAATGTCCATCAACTGGATAAATGGATAAATAAAATAGGGTACATCCATACAATAAAAAATTATTCAGCAATAAAAAATGAAGAATTGACACATACTACAACATGGATGCACCTTGAAAATATTATGATAAATGAAAGAAGCCAGTCACAAAAAAACAAATATTGTATGATGCCACTTATATGAAATGTCTAGAACGGGCATGGCGACAGAAAGTAGATTGGTAGTTGCCTAGGGCTGGGAGTGGGAATGGGAGGATTGGGGAGTGACAGCTGAAGAGGACGGAGTTTCTTTCCAGCATGACGAAATGTTAAAAAATTGATTGTGATGGCTGTGCAACTCTGTGATTATACTAAAAACCACCGCATTGTACACTTTAAGCAGGTGAACTGTATGGTATGTGAATTATATTTCAATAATGCTGTTACCAAAAAATGATAAAGTTCTGCTTTTGTCTTCATGAGCACAGCAGGAAGGAAGAAATTCAGGAAATAGGCTGACATTTAAGAGAGACCATCGCCATGAACCCTCAGTGTCAAATGCCTGGGGTACTCTGTTAGAATACCCTAGAATGAGGGAAAATCTAGAAAATCAAGAATTGACTCAGAATTCTATGATCCACTCAAAGTAAACCAAGATGAGAATTTAGTTCATTTAAAGTTTCTAAGAACTAAAGGCACATAAACAAATGAAAGACTGTTTTAAATAAGCACAGTGGCTACTCTAACCTCTCCATTAATTACTGGAGTAAATAAATTCTTAGCAAGTTGCACTAAGTATATTTGAAGCACTCTTCTTTTGGAAAGCTCCCTAAGCAGCAGCAAGGATCATCCCATAATAAGAAAGGAAAGCCAATCACCAAGAGAAGTGGCTTTTCCAGGGTCTCATCAGTCACCAATGATAAAGCCAGTACTACGTGTAGGTTTGCCCATGATCAAAACTGTACCAAGGCACTGCAACACTCTTCACAATGAACCTGATGAGATATTGTCATGGGCAAGCCAATTACGGGGTCAGTGTTGTAACTCATGGAGAACTTAAGTACCCAACCGAAGTGCGGAGGGAGAGCAGGCAGTAGCCAGCTAATGAATTTCTGCAGTGCAGCTCTTGGCTCTAATAGAAAGGAAGCTGGATGTGGTGCTTTCACTATCTTGGGTTCTGCACTAATTGGAGAAGACGACTCATTGAACTGTTTCTATTAATATAAAGCATCACCCTTTCCTCTAGGGTCTTGGGTTCATTTGAAAGTCAGAGGATGTGAGGAAGAAGCTGGCATTATTCTAGGCAACTCTGGCCAAGATTTCATGACACTCTTATTCAGAATACATACAGACTCTGAAAAAATCTGTATGGGCTGCAACAATTTCTCTACACAGCATTTTATTTGTTCTTTTCTTTTCTTTCCTTTTTTTTTAAGGCTTGAATTCAACACTCTATAACCTCCTCATTTTGCTTTTCCATATTTTAAAAAGAACTACTTTTTCCAAACAGCAAATAAACTCCAGATTTATCTAAATTACACCAGCAACGTTACTGATCATAATATTATTTCCAGGAGAAAAACAAAGCAATGAAAGAGTAGGTTTTCTCTCTAGCAAGCAACACTCAATTCACAGGGTCCTTATTAAGTGTTTTCTAACACTGAATGCATACAGGAGAGGTATTTTAAAAATAGTCAATGGTTCAAATGATTTGGAACACCAGGCAGCACATTTTGTATTTCTTTGTCTCTGAATAAGCTTTCTCTTTGGGAAAGCTAGGAGAAATCGCTCCGCTTTTGATTTCATTTACTTATATCTATTCACATTCGTTCTTAATGTGATTCTTCAGAACTCATCACAGTGCTGCTCAGAATTGAGTGCAGTGAAAATGTAATTAATTTAGATGAATCAGGGTATAGATAGTCAGAATTCGGTATGTTTGAATTACATAACTTTTTAAAAGCAATTCAATTTTATTGCTTTCAAATAACTTCAGAGCAACACGACTGAATAAGCATCAGTAGGTAGATGTTTTTAGAGACCAAATTTGATGATAAATAAGACGGAACTATAATTATTGTATTAATTGCTTGCATTTAAATGATTCTCCTGAATTGTCAACAGAAACTTTTTATAATTCCCTTAATTGGACTTCTGTGCCTCCAGTCTTATGTAACTTAATAAGGACTTATTGGACATCTGTTATAGACCATTAGGGGAAAAAAGTATATGGCAGCGTTTGGTCTCAAAAAGTCTATAATTTTGTCAGGGTGGTAAAATGTCCTCTTAAATGTACTCCGGCCATCTTATTTACCGATTCCCTTCCTTATAACAAGTTTTCTCCACAAATGGCGCTAGTTAAATGACACTTCGGTCCCAGTCTGACTTACCTGAATTGCTAAACTAATGAGGTTATACTGTGCTTGGGTTTAGTCATCATTAAATTACTGTCACTCCCAGAATCTCTGGCCTGCAAACATCCTGTTTCTTGCTTTCAATACTCTTCCTCAACATACCACAGCCAGACATTCCTAATCTTGAGTTACAGAAATTGGAGCTGATGAGGGCTCTGCTGCAGCCTCTCCCTCTTGTAAATGGCAAGGCATCAAGTTCCTCGTACACAGGTCCTGCTGACATATCCTAACCATCGGACAACCAAGTCCATGACGCTGCCAGTTTTCGTTGGCTTCTCTGACCAACAGAGGACCCTACCACACAAAAACTCATCTACTTCTCAAAGATAAGGTCACGGTTGACATTTTTGCTCCAACTGAGAACTATCAGCCTGTCCCTTCATTAAGTAGTACCAGTAAATAATAAACACCTGCATGATGGTTTTTACCCAGTGTTCCAGAAAACTGAGCTCAGCTGTGATATAAACTGAGGCACAAAGGCTTTCTGAAACTCAAACTTCCCAAGAAATTGACTCCAGGCCCATCAGCCATCTAGTTTACCCCAGTCACAGACTCTTCATCTTGAAGAGAGATTGATACGACAGGAACTAGCAGCGGGGCAACCCCTAGGAGTCTAAACTCGCACCAAGAAAGGAGGCTCAACAAATCTAGTTACTGGTGGCAGAATTCCAGGTCTCACTGATCATTTAATCCCACTAGTTTTCTCCTTTGGCCTCATGGGCAAGCACTTGGTTACCATCAGTGACATGTTGGAGCTGACTTATACTACGGAGAGAGCTGATTATGTGCGCCTCTTCCCAAGTCCTCCTTCGGTGATTCCAAATTGGTAACTTGACATCAGATCATGGGGAGAGTATTTATACCATGGAAACTGGAAAATGCTACATACACTTCAGCTCCCCGCCATCCAAAACAAGAGCCAGTTGTTAAACATTTCCCAGCCCCCCAGTGGGACCACCTAGTCTCATCTTTGTGTGCTTTCACAGGTTTAGTGGCAACTGCTCCCTGAGAAAGCCCCAGGGACACATCCCTGGCCCACTGACCTGGGCGCGGTTGGTGTACAGCACTTTCATGTCCTTCAGCTTCTGCAGGCCCTCAGTGTAGCGCAGGACGGCTGTTTCGTAATCGCCCTTAACAAACGCTTCGTTCCCCTCTTCCTTCAGGGCTATAGGAATACAAGGCACACAGGTGATGTCTCACCACACACTAGAAAATTCTTTAAGACTTTATTCCCCTGATTTTCCAAATCTATTTTGAAGGTCTTAGCCACCATTGATCCAAAAGGGACTTGTCACTTGTTTGTCTCTGCAGATATTTCAGGACCAGCTTCTTCAAGTATTTTTCCTCCAAATCCACCCAAAGTCTTCTAAGTAGCTTTTCAGAAAATGTCAATGTTTCTGCATCAAGGCTCAGAACCAAGCCAAGCTTGCCACGGTGACCAAGTCTACACATTCAATGTTCCATAAAGAGGGTCAAATAATTAATTTTCTAACAAATATGGAATCATCTAGATCTGCAGCACTGGGTGGTATGAAATAAATGCTGAAAGCATTCCTCTGTTGTATGTATCTCCCCCCAACATACACAACCCTGTCTGTTTCTTTCTCTTCCTTTATTTTTCCTCTCCTTTCTCAAACCTTTGTTTCATTTTTCTTTTTCACTTCTTCCTCTATGCCTCAGGCTAGCCACTGGTACCTCACTCCCATCTCTCGCTGTTTTCTAAGCATTGTGTAGGACTGTTCAATCTGATCTGCTAAGTCCACCCGTATGTTTTAGAAAGAGGTTTCACTGTGGAGGCAGACTAAGGGCTATGTCCTACCCCCTGGCTCTTCGCAGCAGAAACAGAGAACAGACCACCAGTGATTTCTGCCTGGCCAATCCCATTGCCTCAGGCCCACCACAAACCTGTGGACGGGGAGTCTTCATGTCCCCGAACATTAGCTTATAGGCTCTCATGTGCTCTTTCTAGCACAAATCATCCCAGCTATTGAAAAGGAACGGCTGACAATTACCATCTGCTAAGACTTTGTTTTCCCTTCTTCTCTTGGCTCGTTCCTTTGCATCCTTCTCCACAGATGCCAAGAAGGCCTCTGACAGCAGGGTAATTTCAAATATTCAAAAGAAAAATCCAAATACTATAATCAGTTCTTTAGTTCAAATTCAGAAGAGAGCTACTTTAGAACTTTAGAGCCACACTTCTCATGCATACACACGTAGGCACACACACGTGCACACTCACAATTCTGAGGCAACTAAAATGACATTTTCTTAATTTGACATTAAATGGTAATGCGTGATGTATTATTATACATGATGGCTATGACTGTGCTTCAAATTTGAATTATGTCTTTTAAAAGAGTTTTTCTTTGAAGAATGACTTTTTTCTTTCATTTAGCATAATGAGCTTCTGAGCTGAGCAACAGAGAAACTACCTGGATCCGTTGAACAGCTAAGAGTAAACTGGATGTCACAGAATAACTGCACTCAGTTCACAAAAGACAAGGAGCAAACCGAGAAATACCGCTGAGTGCCGTCCCCTCTGCCCACTAGAGCAAGAGAACTGGGTGATCAGCAAGTTTTTGTTCACAGGTTGTTTGAAAGCCCAGAGGCTATAATTTAAGGGTCTGGATGCTACAGTCAGTAAAAACTGATCCTAAATAAACACTAAAAATTGGGAAGAGAGATGCTTACCTGAGTTTATTTCTTTCACATTCTGCAGGACATAGGTTATCATAAAAACAAAGAAACAAACTTCAAAAGCCGTTCTCTGATTTATATGTATATACACCAAGAAGGCAAATCAATTACAAGTGAGAGTCAGGTCATTTCCTTTAACCACCGATACTAAAGGGCTCAAAACTCAGGGCTTGCTTTCAATCAGGAAATCTGATTATGGGCACAACTGCTGTGGGGCTGAGTCTGCAGAAATGAGGCTGCTCAGGTCAAGGGACCTCAGCTGTGGCTGTATGAGTTGGAAATACAAGTTAGTGAAATATATTACCTTAACAGTGCAGCATAAATATATTACATATATGCTCAGGGGATGGAGAGGCCAAAGTTTCATTGAAACAAACCCAAAGGGTTACTTAAAGATGATCCAGACCAAGGGTAAAAAATCAGAATTTCTTTGTAGAAAATAAATCTAGTCAATCTAAGAAACAAAAGACTATTTCAGCCTCACCAGACAGTTGGAGATTAAACTGTTCCCTCAGTGTAGGTCTTCCCATTGTATCTAATTATATAGCTTCATAATAGAAAAGAAAACCTTCATAGGAGCTTGTGGAGGACTGATCACAGTCTTGTTCAAGGTGGTCCAGCATTCATCCACCTCTTGGTCTTCCTCCATAAGCTGTAGTCTCTTTTCTGTCTCGAGGACAGCTTTCTGTTGCACAACTGGGTCATCAGAATTCATCTCCTGAATTAAATTGGCTAGAGGAGAAATAAGATGTGAATCAATCAAACAAGGTCTTCAAAAGAAAATACTTCATTCACTAAAAAGGATGGTATCAAAAATGCATGGGGAAGTCTTAAAAAAAACAGCAATAGAAAGCAAAATTGAGCAATTAGAATCAATGTGAAAAAATAAGAGAAGGATTTGTTTTGTCTATAAAAAGCTGCAGGAGAGTTTAACTATGGGCTTCAAGGAACAGAGTTTTAAGCCACTATTAATTCAACAATAATTTATGGAGAGCTTATAATGAGTTAGATATTATGCTGACTGCTATAGTTAATGATGATGAATAAAAAATATTCTTTTTCTTTGAAGAGCTTATGATCTTATGTGGGAGACAAACATGTAAGTACAGGCAGCTCTGAGATCACGAAACAACAGCCCTTAACCCTATCCCTACCCGTCTTCACCTTATTGCCCGCCCAGCTTACATTCCACAATCTATCACTTGGTAGCCACCCTGCCCACATACTCAACTCCCTTGCCCTCCTAGCCCACTTAATAGACAAAACTCCAACTCTAGATGAATCCAACCATCCATCTCTTTTTTTCGGGGATGCTGAGTAAGTACTGAGTGAGAAAGACAGATGCTGGTCCCAACCCAACTGGACTTTCAATGACAGACAGCCATCCTTGTTATCCTAGGCAATCTTTCTAGCATTCTCCCAAAGACTTTTAAAAGTTTTCTGTAATCTAAAGCTGACCATCTCAAACAGATGACCTTACTTATCAATTCTGAGAGGAAGGAGATACCATCAACTTCCTGCCATTAAAACTACAAAACTGCCTGCCTACACCTACATCCATCTGTCCTTCCTTCCTACCGCAAGGAAAAGGTGTCCCTCCTCCCATATGAGGCTAATCCCTCATCCTGTGCTCAGGATCCCATCATCCTGTTTTGCATCAAGAGCCCTGCATCACCAATTAATTATCCCACTTTGGCAATATTTTCAACCTCTTCTATTTGAACAGCTTCTTCCTAAAAGTATTTATACACTTTAAAAACAATGGTGATCTTGTATTATCCTGGATAGAGCTGGAACCCATTCTACTAAGTATCCCAAGAATAGATAAACATGCACCACATGTACTCACCATCAAATTGGTATTAACTGAGCAACACATAAGTGCACATATAAGAATAACATCTATTGGATGTTGGGCAGGGGAGGGGGGAGGAGGGGACGGGTATTTGCATACACAAAGAGTGCGATGTGCACCATCCGAGGGATGGACACACCTGAAACTCAGACTTGGGGCGGGGGGCAAGGGCAACATACGTAACCTAAACATCTGTACCCCCATAATATGCTGAAATGAAAAAAAAAAGAATAGATAAACAAGCACCACCCGTACTCACCATCAAATTGGTTTTAACTGATCAACACTTAAGAGCACATATAGGAATAACATTCATTGGGTGTCAGGCAGATGGGAGGGGCAAGAGGGGATGGGTATATACACACCTAATGGGAGCAGTGGGCACCATCTGGGGGACAGACACGCTTGAAGCTCTGACTCGGGTGGGGCAAAGGCAATATATACGAACTAAACATTTGTACTCCCCTAATATGCTGAAATAATAAAGAAAAAAAATATCCCCCAATGCCCTATCTCCTCCCCTTCACAACTAAAATTCCTTTAAGGTACTTCCCATTTCTTCATTTCCCACTGATTCTTCACAGAAATTTCTTTTCAAAAATTTTAGTTGTGAAATATCTCACACATACGGAAAATAACAGACATGTTTGTTTCCATACCATCTGTAAGTTAACATGTATTCTTTCTCCAGCAGGTTTTCATGTTTAGTATTTGCATCATTTAGCTTTTGCTGCACAACAGACTGCTCCAAAACTTTGCAGCTTAAAACAAGCCACTGTTATTTAGCTTAGTTTACAATTTTCTGGGTCAGCAATTTGAGCTGGACTTTGCTGGCTGGTTCTTCTTCTGGTTTCAGCAGGGCTCACAATTTATATCTGTGGTTGGCTGTCCATCACCTAAATGGCTTTGGAAAGTTGACTGGCAGTTGGCCTGAGCAATGGGAGCAACCAGGGAAAGTGTGTCTCATTCTCCAGCAGGGGTTCCCAAGAGTGGCATGAGAGAAAGCTCCAAAGCACACCCACTTTTCAAGCCTCTGTTTGAGTCATGTTTGGAAACATCCCTTTGGCCAAAGCAAGTCACATGGCCAATCCAGATTCAAGGAGTGGAAAAACAGATTACTACAGACTTCTTGATGGGGAAGAAAGAAATTTGTGACCATTTTTGCAATCTACTGGAGTATTTATGTATGTGTATTAAAACACTTAAAATACATGGTTGTATTAATTGTGCATTCTTTTGCAACCTACTTTTTTCTCTTAATATGCTTTAGACATTTGTTCTTGGCATATTAATGTATAGTTCCAGTTGATTCATTTAAACATTGTATATACCATAGCTAATCCACATTCTTATTGATGCATAGCCATGGGTTTTTTTTAGTTTTATTTTTTGCTACAGTAAACAAATGCTGAATTGAGTCCCTGTATCTATAATACATATTTCCTTGTGCACATATTACATATTCTTCAGGATATGGCTGTACGAATTTTTACTCCTACAAGCAGTATACAAGAGTTCCCACTCTTCCACACTCTTATCAACACTTGTTATGTCAAACTTTTTAATTGTTGCCAATATGATGGATGGGAATGGTAACTCACCAATGTTTTAATTTGCATTTTGCTGAATATGATTAGAATTGGGTATCTTCTTACTGGTTTGCAGGCCATTTGGAATTCCTCTTCTGTGAAGAGCCTGTTCTTATCCTTGGCCAATTTTCTATCTGGTCATTTGTCTCTTTCTTATTAATTTACATGATTTCCTTTTTTTAATTTTTAATTTTTTTTAGAGATTTCACTCTGTTGTCCAGGCTAGATGCAAGCTTCTGGGCTTAAGAGATCCTCCTGCCTCAGCCTCCTGAGTACTTGGGACTATTGGTGCATGCCACCCTGCCCAGCTGATTTCTTTATATATTCTGGACTGCTTACATGTATTTGCAAACATCTTTTCCTTGGCTATGGTTTGTCTTTTCATTTGCTTTTATGGAAAGTTTTGTTAAAGAGATTTTAATTTTAATGTGTTAAATAGACCAATCTTTTCCTTTGTAATTTATGCCTTTTCTGTCATTAAGGTTATAAATACACTCTGTTCTGGTGGTTTCTCAAAGTTTTAAAGTTTTATTTTTTTAAGGTGTTTAATCCACCTGCAGCTGATTTTTGTGTAGGGCAGGAGCATCTTTGTTGAGGAGTCCCTGCCTTCCCCACTGATGTGTCTTGTCATCCCTGTTACGTGTGTGAATCTGCTCTGGGCTCTGCATTCCTTTCCACTTGATTTTACTTGTCTTTTCCAGCACCAAAAGCTCCATGCATTAATTACCATAGCTTCCTCATAAACTTTGAAGATCGAGAGGGAGAGTTGTCCTACCTTCTTTTTTTCCTGCAGAATTTTCTTGGTTATTCTTGGTCCTTTGCTCTTCCATGTGAACTTTAAAATCCACTTGTTGAATTTCAGTGCAAACCACTTTTGGGATTTTGGTCTAAACTGTATAGACTGTGTAGAATAATTTGAGGAGAACTAACATTTTACCCGATGGGTCTTCCCATTCATGATAAAGTACGTCTCCATTAATTTAGATCTTCTTTTATGTTTTTTAATTAGTTTTTTAACTATACATCACACTTTATTTTAATTACATTAGTTTCTCCCTAATGTCCTTTTTCTATTTCAGGATCTCATCCGGGACACCACATGACATTTAGTCATGTCTCCTTAGGCTTTTCTGAGCTGTGACAGTTTCTCAGTTTCCTTGTTTGCAATGACCTTGACAGTTTTGAGGAGCACTGGTCAGGTATTTTGTAGAATGTCCTTCAATTTGGTTTTATATGGTATTTTCCTCATGCCTGGGGTTGTGGGATTTGGGAAGGAAGCACATCATATCAAGGGTACATGCTATCAACATGACTTCTCATGAGGTTAACCTTGATCATCTGTCCAAGGAGGTGTGTGTCAGCTGTCTCCACCGTAAAGTTACCTTCCTCCCTCCCTGTCCACACTGCACTCTTTGGAAGCAAGTTACTAAATGTATCTCACATTAGTCATGTTCCACCTCCTTGAGCAGAGTCTCTACATAATTTATCGGAATGAATTTACTGCTCTCGAGGTAAAAGTTCCTCACCATGGTTTCCAAGGTCTTCCCTGATCTGGCCTCTCCACGCTCAGATGAGACCCTTCTCTCCTTAGTCTCTTCTCTCCAGTCACATGGGGCTTTTTATTCCTTCGGCTTCTCAAAAGTACCACACTCTCTCCCAACCCCCAGCTCTCCTACTCCTGATTTCCTACTTCCTAGGATACTCCCCTCCCCTCTTTGCAATGGCCAACTCCTACTTACTCTTCAGATTTTTGCTTTAAATCTCACTTCTTCAGGAAAATCTTATTTGACTTCTATTATAGACTGAATTGCATCCCCCTCCAAATTGATATGATGAAACCCTAACCCCCAAGATGACTGTATGTGGAGACAGTACCTTTAGAGAGGTAATTAAATGAGGTCATAGGGGTGGACTGTAATCCAGTATGACTGGTATCCTTATAAGGAAAGAGACACCAAACACACGCACGCACAAAGAGCTGACCACGTGAACACAGAGGGAGAAGGTGGCCATCTACCAGTTAAGGAGAGAGGCCTCAGAGGAATTTAAATCTGCTGACACCTTGATCTTGGACTTCTAGATCCCAGAACTGTGAGAAAATACATTTCTGTTGTTTAAGCCACTCAGTCTGTGCTATTTTTACAGCAGGCTCAGCAGACTAACACAACCCCCTAAGCTGGGTTAGACTCTGGTACTTTGCGAGTCTCTCTTTTTATCACATATCACACTTGAAATTATTTCTTAATATTTGTTTTCCCCACTGGACTGTAGATATTATGAAGAAAGGTAATTCTTTTGCTGTACTCGCTAGTGCCTAGCAAAACTCAACACACAGCAAGAGCCCAAGAAAGGAATGGATAGAATTTGTGCACATGTGGCTACATAAATTTAATTTAAAATGAAATAAAATTAGAAATCCCTCAGTCATGCAAACACATTTCAAATGTTCAATAACCATATGTGGCTGGTGGCTACCATAGTGTACAGTGCAGATTACAGCACATTTCTATCATCACAGAAAGTTCTATTGGGCAGTGCTGATATAAATGATACTGAATGAACTTTGAGTATGAGTAAAGTTCGCCAGGTAAAGAAAGATGGGGAGGCAGAGGGAATGACAAAGACCAAGTGCAGAGTGTGAAACACCAGAGCATGTGTGGGAAACCATCAGCAGTTTGTTGCTGCTCAAGTGTGAGGGAGGGAGAGATGAGAGAGGTAAGGATGAGGTCATGGGAGGACTTAAGTCCTGATGAGAGCATGGGATTTATTGTGACTGCAAAAGGAATCCAAGCAGAGAAGTGTCTGGGTCAGATTTGCATCTTAAATACATTACTCTGTGGGGAGTATAAACCTGGATGCAGGAAAAACAATTAAGGGGTTGTTGAAATAGTCTGGGTGAGAGGAACCAGTACACAGGGAGGGCTGCAGAGGATGGGGCTGGAGAAAGAAGCCAAACTAGACAAGATACAGGGTTGAGAGATGGGAAGAATCCAGTATGACTTGTGAATTTTTGGGTGGTGCTGCCACCAACTGAGACCAGGATGAAGGGGAAGGAAGAAGAAGCAGGTTTTATTTGGAAGGGGGAGGGTGGAGAGGGAAAGACACTGATGATTCAATTTTGGACACATTAAGTTTGAGTTATTTGTGGGATACAGTGGGTATGACAGTTGACCACAGGGGCTCGGGCTCAGGAAAGAAGGCTGGGTGTCAGTTTAGATGTGTGGGTCACCAGCAAACAGGTGGTAGGTAAAATCATGTGCTCAGACTAGACCAGCTGAAGAGAAAGGTGAGCAGGGGCTCAGGCCAGAACTCCAAGGAACGGCATTCAGGGATGGGCACAGGAGAGGCCCGGGAGGCACACAAAGAACACATTTGGGATGTATCATTTATGAAGTTGCCCAAACTATTTTTAAAACCATTTTATTCTTTGGACCCATACAATCGCCTGGAAGCAGCAATTCCAACATATTTACATTTGCTATGTGGGTTTGTTTGCTTGTTGGTTTGTTTCTGTACTCAAATAAGCTCCCTGAAGTTTGAACAGGGACTGACAGGTTTGGAATTTCCTGAATGCCATCTGTGAGATCAGAGTCTATGTTCTTTGAGATCCCACCTGTCTGAGCTGGGGAAGGGATCTTCTGCCTACAGGTAGAGAGAGAAGGGAATGACAATCATAAGCCATCCATGTAAACTGATGGATCCCCAGGGAAAGCCACTTGATTTGGCCTCTGCAACTCGAAAACAGAAATAGCTCTACCCCAGAACAGAAGGGGTCCCAGACTGATCAAGGGGGATCTCGGGTGATCTCCAAGGGAACAGCTAGGCTCATTGTCGATGGGGAAACAGCAGTTCCTTTGACCCGATTCTTCATAGAAGGAGACAAAATATGGAAGAGAGATGTCAGCCTGAATTCCAATCAGAATGTTAACAGTTTCTCTGATACCAATTAACAGACAGAAAAGACTGCCCTAAGGCTATAATGTAACTTGCTTCTCAATACTCTGTTTAATTTCAATTACATTTTTTTCTTAAGAGTCATAAACCTGTCAGGCAACCCAGGAACTAAGAGTAATCATTTCTCTTTAGACACGTCACCTATCTGAAGCAGAATTTAATTTGTTTATGATTTACTGGTACTTACTGACTTCATCCACATTTTTAAGAAATTTCTGCAAATCTTTCTCTTGATCATCAGCCATTGTGTACCAGAATCCCTGAGGGAGGCAGCATAAATGATGAAATTAATAACAATAAAATGCTAAACAGAACCATCAGGCTTATTAGCCTTCTGAAACTAAGAGCCAAGCAATTATCTTTAAGGCATTTGTGTTTATAAATGTCATGAATAACAGCAAGGTGATCCATTTCACTCCAACCACTGTTTAAGGCCAAGACACATTCATTATTTGTGGCGATACTTCCAGAAAGCTGCCAGCCCTCCTTCCACTGGGGAAAACGCTCTGCAAATAGTTCCTTCAAAGCCAACCTAATTGTTGTGATTCGGGGACCTGGCATGAAGGAGACTAAGGGGAGAGCAGCTGACAGGCTGCCAGGGTTAAAGGAGCATCCTAACAACTGACTTTGATCATGACCAGTGGCCTAGTCAGAAGCCTGGATGTGGCAGTGAGACAGGTAACCAGAGACGGGGCAATTTGCATCTGAATGTCCATACTTGTTCAAAATATAAGCTTCTGGCTTGTTTCTGAGGAGTGAAGAGAAGCTACAAATTGGCCGGGGGGATTAGAACATGATGCTATCGAGCACCAGTGTCTCTTCCCCCGTCCAGGTGCTTAGTTCAGTTAAATTTGAGTGAGAAGGCTGAATAGTGTACCCCAAGGTTCATCCACAGACCATAAAAATCATCTAAAAGCTTGTTAAATGTACAGATTCCTTGGTCTTAGCTCCAGGAAGTCTCAGACAGTAAACCAGGGATAGTGCCCAGGAATGTATATTTTAAATATTCTCCAGGTGATTCTGATTTACAATTAGGTTTATTATGAACACTAGTGTAGTAGTGTAACACACCTATAACTGGAAATTAGAAATCTGCTGTGAACAAGCTGCAAATTATTTAATTTCTGAGTCTCCATGTCCTTATCTCCACCAATTACAAGCTGTGTGACCTTGGCTAAAGTCGAAACCTCTCTGAGCCTCGGAGTCCTGCCCATCCTACGGTACTGATAATACGAACTGAACCCTGAGGACTATTCTGGGGATGTACATAAAGCACCAGGCACCCTAACCTATAAAACAGGAGGTGGGGGTGTGGCTTAACGGAATGATCGCTAGGGTTCTCTCCAGGTCAAACTCCCACAGAACGGGGCCCACTGAAGTGCATTAACTTGTCCAAGGTCAGAGGTGAGAAGGCAAGCTCGGCACGTCCATGGACAGGGGCAGCCCTCTGCTCCCAGGGCATGGATCCAAGGGTGCACATTGCCTGGTCAATGCTGCCCACTGCAGGGCCAGAGGGCCCGAGCAGGCCAAGGCCAAGTTTCACTCAGCAGGGCCTGCGGGGGCGGCGACGCGCGCCCGAGCCCCAGAGCGCGCCGTTGCCCGGCAACCGCTCCCCAGCGTCCGCCCGCCCCGAGCTCTCCATGGCGGGCGAGGCCGCGGCCGATACCCTCCCCGGCGCTGCGGCACAAACCAGCGTTCCGTGCTCCGCTCTGAAGGCCAGTCCGGGACCCGGGCCCGGGGGTACCCCAGCGTCACTCCGTTGCACTGACCTGACGCGCCCGCAGATGGACAGGAAATGGCGACTGGGGGCGGACGGGGACCGGTCAAGGCTGGGGCGGGGCTGGGGGCGGGGCCAGGGGCGAGAGCGGACCGCGCTCTGACTCTCCACCGCAGTCATGAAGCACCTACTGTGCACCTTCTGCTGTGCTAGGTACAGGAGATCTTTTTCTTCCTCTTTTACTACTAACACTACTATTACTACTGCTAGATGTGTGGCCTTGAGCAAGTTACTTAATCTCTATATGCCTTAGTTTCCTCATCTGTAAAATGGAATTGTTAAATGATATCTGTCCCACAGGGTTCCTGTGAGAGGCACATGATTTAATACAGGCAATGTGCTTAGAGCAATGCCTGGGGCATTATCGACACCTAGTGAATATTAACTAGTACCACTACTATGATTAGTATACATTAGACTAGTGCCTCTGAATCTTGATTGTGCATAGGAACTGCCTGGAAATTTTGTTAAAATGCAGATTCTGGGTCAGCAGGCCAAGGGACTGAGATTCTGCAGTGATGCCCCTCTGTGGACTGTGGCCACATGGAGTAGCAAAATGCAGGGACTTTATCCAATGCTGGGATGTAGCAGGACACAAGTTCAGCTTATCACCCAACTTGGGGGAAGGGGTTAAAGATCAATAAATAGTCATTTAAATCCTCATTGTGATAAGTGATTTAAGAAGTAAAGGATGAAAAGCAAAAGTAGCAAAGAGTGCTAGGAAGGTCTAGTCTCACACCTTGGAAGTCTTCCCTGATGACATAATGTTTAAGCTGAGGCTTGAGGGGTGAGTAGGCATTGCCCAGTTAGGGAGGCAGGTGGAAACAGAGGGAGCAGCATGAGCAGTCAGGAAGGAGCCTAGCATGAATGAAGAACCAACAGAAGGCCAAGCTTGGCTGTTGTACAGAAAGCAAGAGGTAGGCGGTGCAAGAAGAAGCAGGGGCCACATCACATTAGGGCCTTTGAAAAACATGTGAAGGTTGTAAGGCTTTACCCTAAGTATCATGGGCAGCCTTCTAGGGGTTTTAGCAGAAGAGTGACATGCTCAGATTTCAATTTTTTCTTAGAAAATTATTCTGGCTACAATGCAGAGAATGATCTGGAAGAGGGACACTGGGAAATAGTTGATAGTGGGTGTTAGCAGTAGGAGTAGTGATGACTTTGAGATGCATTTGGAGGGAGAATTGACAGCAGAGAAGTATCAACAATGACATTAGGCTTCCGGCGTAAGCCAGATTGGGACTCCGCATTGGCTAAGCTAGAGAAGATTAGAGAACCAGGTTTGGAGAAAAGATGAGTTCGGATTTGTCATATTCAGTTCAAAATGCCTATGAGTTACCCAAGTGTCGATGTTGAATAAATTGATAATTGCCCCTTCATATTTATTCTTCTCTTCTTCAAGTCTACCAATTTTTAGCAAGGCCTAACACACCTAGAATAAACTGTGTTTCCCACCTCTCCTTGTACATGACTAAGTTCCGACCAATAAGATATAAACAGATATGGTGGTGGTGCTACTTCTGGAAAGGGTCTAGAAAGGATGCCCTTCTCCTTGCATTTCCTTCTTGCTGGCTGGAATGTGGACACAATGGCTAGAGGTGGATTAGCCATTTTGGACTGTTTGGTAGAAGCATTGTGTTGAGGATGGACAGCCACAAGCTGGACGGTGCCTGGGTTCTGATGATCATGCAGCTGCCTCATTGGCTTTGAACTCCATATTTCTGCATGTGAGAAATATTTAACCTCAATGGTACTTCAGTTGCTAGGATATAAAGACTTGTTGTTTAGGACACTGCTATGTTGAGTTTTCTGTCACTCCCACCCAAACCTAGTGTTAACTGATATGGAAGGCACCATTCATTCATTTGACTTACATTTTCTTAATATTTATATCTAATTTTTTTCATCATAAGCTCAAATAGTCTAAATGTTGTTATACTGACATAAGACTCTAAACGCCAGAGCAATTTGATACTAAGATAATATAATTAAGAAGCTAATGAATAATGTTTTCTTTATAGTCAGTCATTTATTCTTTTTTGTCCTTGAAGTCATATTTCCATTTTATACCTCCCCATACACACTTAAAATAGTACCCTAACATAGGATATTTTATGCTCAAATCTCTTTCATTGATCATATAATCATTCTTCTCTGCCACAGAAATTTCAACAAACATTACTGGGGTGTTTGCTTTGACTAGAAACCATACGATGAGCCATGGGCACAGCCTCTGTCCTCAAGGAACTCACAGTCCAGTGAGGAAGACAGATGCGTAAACAAATGATTATAGAACAGTGCAACGAGGGCAGCGAAGGTAGTGCCTAAGAAAGGGGGTGTGGGGAGGAAATGGTATCAGGCAAGGCCCCACAGGAATAGTAATTTCAGCAGTTAATGTGCAGCCTTGGAGTGTGTGGAGGGCTCCAGGCACAGGGGACAGGATGAGCAAAAGTTTAGAGGCAAGAAACATGGTGATGTGTGTGAGAAAACAGAACTGTTTAAGGCAAGAGTGGCAACAGAGGAGCCCAGAGATGCAGGTAGGAGCAGAAGTGTCCAGGAGGAAGCCATAGGAAGAGTATAAAGCTGGGAGGAGCCCACGTGGGAGAGGATGAGGAGAACCTGGGCAGGAGGGCTACACAAGAAGTGGTGTGTTTGTTCCTAAATTGAGCGGGAATAACGATACTCAGCAGCCACAGACGCTGGGGCCTTCTTCGGAAGTCGCTTCCATCTTCATGACTCCCGCATGGGTCTCTGTCAAGCCCAGACCTCACTCCAGGCTCCAGCCCTAGAAATCTAACTGGATAGTAGACAGTGGGTTTCTTGGAAGTAGGGATTTTGCTTTATTTTATCTTTGTATTCCCAGCACCTGATGCTTAGTTGGAGCTAAGTAAAGACTTGTTGAATAAGTGAGTTAATCTCTTGCTCTGCATAAAGGAAACCTCAAATATAAGTTATGCCAGATGGAAAAGGAATAAGGGTTTTATGATTTCTCTGCCTCAGGCTTCCCTGAGTGGTCTACCCTGGAGGACAAGCACTGTTATAGTCACAACATACTTTTTAGGATAAGTCTTTCATTTGACGGATTGATCACTTTAAAACATCAGAAGTCCTAGTAAACCCTGGATTGTCACTGTGCTATCCAAAAAGATTCCAATTTTCCTCCTTCTAGGTACATGGTAGGATCTCACTTCTCTGGGGCTTGGTGACTTGCTTTGGCCAATGCAATGTGGGGAGAAGCAAAGAGGTCAGAAAGCTTTAAGAGCCAGTGTGTGATTCACCATACACATCCTTTCCCTCTTACCTAGCAACCAGATGCTGGAGGCTGTGTCTGCCTGAGTCCTTGAGAGACAACGTGGAGCACAGGTACCTGTCTACCTTCAATGGATACAAAGAATGAGAGAGCAATGGACCTTTCTTGTTATAATCTGTAAGAATTGTTTGTTACTGCAGCATAATAGAGCCCATCACATCTAATACAGTCATCAGACCACTTGTTCTTCACTTGATATGATGACAAAATCGAGGGACCTTGTACGTGAGCATATGTAGATTATAATGGTGTCAATGGCTGTGCAGTTTCATGTATATATTCAAACAGGTAGAGGAAAACAGACTTTTAAAGTGCTGGTAACTTGTATTTCAAATATATTTCTCCTAGGGAAATTTTATGAATTATACTTTTACAACAATTGCTTCCACCTGACCTAAATCCCTTGTGTGGTACTTGTTTTATTTTTTTCTTTATGTCCTCAATAAAAACTGGCAAACATTTGTTCACCTTCCACTGTATAGTAAATGTGAGACTTGCAGATTATTGTAAGTTCTCTCTCCTCTATTTCACTCTGCTCCCTCTTTAGTGTAAACAACCCTATCTCTTTGCCTTTTCTCATCAAACACATCTACAAGTTTAGGACACGTAAAATTCCAACCCCACCCCAGGATAGCTGCATGAGGAATAAAGACATCGACCTTTGCCTGCTAAGGGTCAATGGTGTAGACAAGGTCAGCCCGAATCCAGGGGCCAAACTACGAAATTGTTTTGTTCGACCAAACTCCTCACCATCGATGTTGGGGCTGCAATTGGTTCCATAACTTTGGTTTCCAAAAAATCTTTTTAATTCTAAAATTTTATTTCTTTACTTTTGTCCTTATTATGTTTTTACTTGAATGTACATCAACATTAGAGGTGTCAAGATTTAGGGAGGAAGCTAAAGGAGTTTAGCCCTGTCTTCCCTCTCTAAAGAGAATTCAAAAATCACATTTGATTTTTTGACTTTTTCCCCTAAACATGTGTCCTTTCATCAAAAAAAAAAAAGAGGAGCTAAAATTCTTGCCTCTTGGACCCATACCTTCCCCTTTCAGTGGCCCCCTTACTATAGATAAAGAAAGAATTTCAGGATCCGGTCACAGACTTAATCCTTGTGTCCATAGTCTTCCTCGAGATTTCTGTGCTAAATTAATGACAATGAAATATTAACAAAAGCAATAGCACTGATAGTAACTAACATGCACTGAGCTGCTATGTGCCAGCCAATCCTTTTTCCTTTCCATGCATTATTTAATTTAAATCTCTTGATAGCCCTACGAAGTCTTACTGCCATTTCACAGACAAAATGCAGTCAGAGAAGTTAAGTGACTTGTCAAGAGGCTGAGCTAAGATATGAGCCCTGGTCTGTGTCCCCCCAGCTCATGCTCCCCCACCTACCACACCACCTTCCATGCAACTTCTCAGGAGAGCCCTGTTTTAAACTCCTAGGTCAGTGACCGTTCCTGGCGCTGCCAGGCAGCTTGGCCTCGTGCATGTGTGAACCTCCGTGTAGGCTGCTGCAGCCACTTCACAGGCTCGCCCACCCCTCTGAAGGTGATGGATGCATTTAACTGTGGTCAGAAGAGCATGTCCCTCACTCCATTAAAAAAGACAGGGTGACGCCAACAATGTCTTCCTTTGGAGCCTTTCTGCGGATCATGGGACTTCTCTGCCTGGAAAGGAAAAGGAAGTTGGGCATCAGTGGTGGAAA